ATCTGCAGATTTGCAGCAGCTCAAGATTTCCCCCTGGCTAGGGGGCTGTGTGACTGTTGCAGTAGGGTGGCTGATCAAGATCTCAGCCAACCCTAGATCATCATCATCATCATCCACCAGGGTATGCTCACACAGCACACCCTGGATCTGCAGTGTTGCAACTAGGGGATGATCAAGATCTCAGCCCCCCTCCATCCTCCAGTTGGCTGGCTGCAGCGAAGGCCAAGACCCTCCTGGTCTTGGTATACGTTGTGCTCTTGGAGACACCAAGGGCCAGGTATCATCTCTCTCTCCCCTTTTCTTTCCCCCACCTTCCGCTGCCTCTCTCCCGTCCTCTTTTTACCTTCCCCACCCCACCTTTTCTCCCACTAACCACTATCTTACCCTCTTTTCTTCATTTCATTTCTTTTCTCTCCTCCTTCTTTCCTCTTACTTTCTCGATCACTCTCCATCTTTCCCCATCCTCTTTTTCTCTCATTCTCTCACCCTCCTCTCCCCCAACTACCACCACATCATCCCCCACCTCCCACTTCATATTTATTTCTCCCCCACCTATTTCTTTTTCTTCTCCTTCACTTTTTCATTCCCATTCCCCCCCTACTTCGAATTTTTTCTGTTTTTTTTCTTCTTTCTATCTCTCTCTTGATTTATCTTTTCTCTTTTCCGAAAATTCGAAATGTCTTCTTTCCCACATTTTTTTCTCATTTTCTGATTTATTTTATTTATTTTTCTATTTAGTCTGAAAATTCGATTTTCTTTACGACAACCCTAAATCTGATTAGGTGTTAGTCTTTACTACTTTCGGCACACGTTTTGACCCCGTGGGGGTTACGAAGTGCTGCCGAAATTTTCTGTTTTTTCTTTCACTTAGTCTTCTCGGCACACTTCGACCCCATGGGGGTACCGAAATGCTGCCAAAATTTTTGACAAATTAGATACTTCATTCCTCCCCACCTCCTCATTCACTTTTTACTTCTTTATTTATTTATTTATTTATTTATCTCTTTATCTATTATTTCTTTATTTATTTTCTGATTTTTTTTTTTTTTTTTTGCGGCATCTTGACACCTAGTGTGCTCACCTTGGCCTCTCCCTTCCCCTTGGCACATTCTTGACCCCGTGGGGGGTAGGGAAATGCTGCCGAAAAATTTCAAAAAATAAATATTGTTTTCCCTTCACATCTTTTTACTTATTTCTTTAATTAATTTTATTACTTATTTATTTCCTTATTTATTTTTATTTTCTCTCGAAATCTCGCTGCTTATTTATTTTTCTCCCGCCTTCCCCCCCCTATGCTTAATCTTTTACTTTCTTGATTAGGTCACCGGTACCCTACCCTAACCACTTAAACCTCGGTTAGGGTTTTCTTAGGGTTTTTGTAAGGTTTAGGGTTCTTCAACCCCCCCCAACTTCCCCGTCCTCTTCGGGCACCCTGGACCCGAACCCCCCCGCCCCCTTCGACGGCGCCCGTGCTAGCCTTGCTAGCGCCGTTCGCCGCTTTCTACCGCGGACTTCCCCCTACGCCCTCCGCTCACGCGGACCTCTTCTGGCCCCCTCCAGTCCGGTCCGTCATCTCCCCATGGCCGACGGTGTGTCACACGCCGCTACCACGGCGATGACCACAGCATCGGGCTCCACACCCGTGCCGACGGACCAGGGCCATCAGCCCTAGGGGGATCTGCACACCATCCTCACCTCCCTCCTTGCGCCCATCCAGGTGCAACTCGCGACCCTTGCGCCCATCCAGGCGCAACTCGCGACCCTCGGGCCCTTACAGGCGCAGGTGGCGACCCTTGCCGCCGTGCAGCAACTCCAGGATGCTACGTGTCCTTCATCTCCTGGCTCCCAGTCCGGGTCCCCCGTCCTCCGACAGGGTGGCCATGACGGAGCTTCCTCCTCCGCCGCCCCCGACCCGGCCATCTTGGTGACTGTCCACGCCCCTAGCACGACGGCCGCCACGAGTCAAGCCCTCCCTCAGTCCACGGGCGCACCCACCTAGATTCCGGTCACGACGGCCACGGGACCACAACCCGCTACCATGATCTCAGCTTTTTCGGGTGCCCCACTTCTCCCCCCTCTTCGCACGACCGCAGCGCCATCTGGCTCTACCCCTTGTGGGATGCCTCGAGCCGCTCGTGCGTCTCCTCCTCGCTCGACCTACGTTCGAGGTCTCGAGGACGCGATCGCCCAGCTTCGGGCCAACCTCGCCCTCTCACGCCTTCAGCCACCCCCACCCTCGCAGGTGGCCGCGCCTTCCGGCGCACCCCCTTCGTCCTCTATTCTTCCTTCCATGCAGACTCGCTTCCTCGCCCTGCACCCTACCCATCTCCATCCTACCTCCTCCCCATCCCCTCGGTTGTTGCGACCTTTTCTACCGCAGCTCCCGCGCAGCCTGCTGCTGTTTCCCCCGCCGCTCCATCATGCGGCCCGGGCGTACAGTTCAGCTACGCCTCCCCCTCCAGGACCTGCGCCGACTTATTCCGCCGTAGCGCAGTCCCCTGCTTCCCGTTCCCCTCGCCGCCAAAACGGTGGCGCACCACTCATCCGCTTGTTGGACATTGCCTTGTATGACGGTACAGGCAAACGCGTGTCTAGGTGGCTGCAGTCTGCCACCCGCACACTCCAGCTCATGGGCGCCAAACCCGACATGTGGGTGGGTCACCTCTCCACACGCCTACGTGGCGGTCCTTTCGAGGCCTGGGAGGATTTCTACGCGTACTCCCTTCGTGAGGGTCGGACCCCGACCTTCATGGATTTTCAGGCGTTCCTCGAGGATCACTTCGGAGCCCGATACGACGTGAATGACGCCTTCGAGCGTGTCGTCATTACATGCTGGTCCGGCTCTGGTGGCGCTGCCTCTCTGGATCGCCACATCCAGGTCTTTCAGGACGCCCGCCTCACTTGTGACGTGGCGTTCCTTCCCGAGGTTGCCCTTATCGATCGTTTCTTGGCCAGCCTTCCGCTCGAGTACCGCTCTGAGCTATGGCGATACGAGTTCACATCGGCCCCGCACACTTACGAGGCCGCCAGGGACCACCAGTGGATGCGAGCCCGTCTTCACCCCGCCTCCTCCCAGCCTCAGCGCACGGGCTACGCCTCCTCCTCCTCTCACGACACTTCCCAGAGCCATTCCCCTTTCCGCGGGCGCCCACGCCGTTCCACGCAGCAGGGCCGCCACTTCTCGCGCCGCTTCAGCGTGCTCGAGTATGGTGAGCAGGACGCTGGTGCCCCGCTGTCACCAGAGGGTGACCATAGCGCCGACCTCGACCTCGGCGAGGCCGTCCACCACCACCTGGGGGACCCTACTCTCCCTATGGCTGAGCGCCTCCAACTCATCCTTTCCACCCTTTCCCGGGCACGCAGCCGCCCCGGTCACGTTGGTGCTAGCCTCCCGAGGTCCCTCAGGAGGACCTCCCTCAGGGCTTCGTCCCTCCTCCCGGTGTCCTTTCCGCTGAGGAGCGCGCGACTATTCTGGGTCGACGTAGGTGTTTGCGATGCCGCTTGGACGGTCATACCTCCTCGCGGTGCCCTTACACTACCGCCCTCGACCGCCACTACGCTGACCTTTCCCGCCAACGTCGTGCGTCGTCCCCCCCCGGCGCCTCTCATCCCCGCGGCGCCTCCTAGCCACGGTGCAGTGTACACCTGCGCCCTCCTTAGTAGTGGGCTTTCCGACATCCTAGTCGCAGTTCGCCCCTCTTGCGACTGGAGTTGAGGTATCGGAGGACTCGACAGAGTGTACTCAGCCCTCTGTCGCAGTACCGTCTGCGCCTCCGCAGACCACTGTCTCCCCTCCTTCCCCGCCTCGACTACCGACGCGTCGAGCCATTCGCTCAACCCGTTGCAGCGAGCAGCTTGCTACTCGCGAGGACGTTGTATCCTCTCTTCTGGACTTGAGCATGCTCCAGGCTCGTCAGGAGCGACTCACCCTCCATGTCGCTGCACTGGGTCGCCTTCTCGCCATCCTCTCTGACCCTGATCGCACCCTCCCGATCATCCCTGTACGACTCGGGACGTCCACGAGGGTGTACTCAGCGCTGTGGGACTCCGGTTCTCAGGGCGACTTCATTCACCCACGCGTGGTGAAAGAAGCCCGCTTACCCACGACAGGGTCTCCGACTCCCATCTTCGTTACCTTAGGGGATGACAAGACCCAACGCTTCTTCGATCAGACAGTCACCAACCTCCCTTTCTTCCTCACTCTCGAACCGACTGATCGTTCCCCGGTGTCTCGTCGCCACCGCTCCTCTGCACATTTCGATGTGATGGAGACGGGGTACGACTTCATTCTCGGCACTCCGTGGTCTCGCCGGTTCCGCAGCACCGAGGCCGATAGGGCGACCAACACTCTCGTTCTCAAAACAAAGTGTAGACATACGTATCTCGTACTTTTCATAGGTACCACCGCAACACCACGCCCTGATCCTCCTCCCCCGGAGCCTTCCGTGCGCACACCATCTCCTTCTATCACTGTCACCACAGGACGACGTCACCTTCTTTATGGTGAACGTGACGGATCTCTTACACTATGACCCACCCTGTCCCGACGCCGAGCTCATCCCTCTGGAGCCAGACCCTCCTTCCATCTCCATGGCTCCCATCTCTACTTCCGTCCCTTTGCCGTCTGTCGAGTCCACCCTGCCGTCGCGCGCTGATGCTGACGCTAGGAACTCGCACGATATACGGCCGACTTGGAGCCCGCAGTTCGTGACCTCATTCGAGAGTACCACGACGTTTTCCCATCGTCGTTCTCGTACGCTAGTATCCCACCGATGCGCGACGTCGAGCACGCCATCCAGCTTGTGCCTGACTATCGTGTTCACCACCAGGCACCCTAAAAACTCTCGATCCCCGAGGCCGCCGAACTCAAGTGTCAACTTGAGGAGCTCCTGAGACTGGGTTTCATTAAACCCAGCAACTCCCCGTGGGGTGCACCCGTCCTCTTTGCTCGCAAAGCGGATGGAACTCTCCGTCTCTGCATCGACTATCGCGACCTCAACCGCTACACGGTTAAGAACAGCTACCCCATGCCTCGTTCCGACGAGCTGTTCGACCGTCTAGCAGGCAACCGCTTCTTTACGAAGATTGATCTTCGTAGCGGTTACCATCAGATCCGCGTCGCTGCAGCCGACCAGCCGAAAACAACGTTGCGATGGCGCTTCGGCCACTACGAGTTTACCGTGATGCCATTCGGCCTCACCAATGCACCCGCCACCTTCCAGAGGGCGATGAACGACATCTTCAGGGACATCCTGGAGCAGTACATTCTCGTTTACCTCGACGATATCCTGGTCTACAGTCGTACCCTTGAGGAGCACCTCAGACACCTCCGCGACGTCCTTGACCGCTTGCGCAGACATGGCTTCTACGCCAAGCTGAGCAAGTGCCGCTTTGTCCAACACAAAGTGGATTTCTTAGGACACTACGTGTCTGACCAGCGTCTCCACATGGACGACGCGAAGATCACTGCTATTGCGGAGTGGCCCGCTCCCACATCCGTCAAGCAGCTTCGCAACTTCCTAGGCCTGACCAGCTACTATAGTAATTTCATCCGGGGATACGCTAGGTATTCCTACGTCCTTACCTCYACCCTCCTCCGGAAGAACCCACCCTGGGCTTGGACACCCCTCCACRAKRACGCCTTYCGCGCCCTCAAGAAGGCGGTGACATRCGCACCGGTTYTTCACCTACCCGATTTTGATCGCTCTTTTATCCTTACCACCGATGCGTCAGACTTTGCTGTAGGAGCAGTGCTTTCTCAGGTCTTCCCCTCCTCTCCTGATTCCTCTCATCCTTGTATCCCTCGCTTCCCACCACCTACCCCTACCACTGCTTCCCGACTGACGCCTACTCGTCCAGCTACTGACGAGCCTTCTATTGACTATTCTCCTACCATCGCCGAGGACGACACTGTCGAGTCTCGCTCAGGTGATTGTCCGATAGCCTTCTACTCCCGTCAGCTCCTGCCCGCCGAGATAAACTACACCGCTGATGAACGTGAGGTTCTCGCWGTAGTTTATGTCACTCGGCACTGGCGTCACTACCTGCACGGGGCACCGTTCACAGTGCGTACGGACAACTCTGTTGTCCAGGCTTTTCTGACAAAACCGAAGCTCACTCCTCGACAGGCTCGCTGGTGGCGCGACCTATCCGAGTTTAGTTTCACCACTGAGCACATCAAGGGTGAGACTAATCGGGTCGCAGATGCCTTATCCCGGCGACCTGACCACGACCTGGAGCAGATCCAGCTCTCTTCCATCTCGGTCACCACCGTCCACCACTCGGTGATCGACGAGTTTCGCACTCAGTACCGCCACTGCCCCGACTATCGCGACATCCACACGACCCTTCGGAGTGGCAAGACTGTCCCGAACTACTCTCTCGGGGACAACGGTCTTGTGTACTGGCACGGTTCACAGGGCACCAGAGAGCCCCGTATTTGCGTTCCCTCCACTGGACAGCTACGTGTCCGAGCAGTAGCAATTCCATGACCAGGCAGCCGCCGGTCATATAGGCTTCCACAAGACGTTGGCTTGTGTGAGCCGCCTGTACGTCAGGCCAAAGCGCAAGGACTTTGTGAAGGACTACGTCGTAGATTGTCCCACCTGTCAGGAGGTGAATAGTGCGAACCACCTACCTTATGGTTTGCTCCAGCCTCTTCCTATCCCTGAGTGTCGTTGGCAGTCCATCTCGATGGACTTTATCGGTCCTCTTCGTCCTCTGACCCCCCGCGGTCATGATGCTATCTTGGTCGTCGTCGACCGCTTCACGAAGCGTGCACGCTTTGTTCCGTGCCGCTATGCCATCAGTGCACGTGAGGTCGCCGACATCGTGTTTGATCGACTCGTGCGTGACCACGGCTTACCTTTGAGCATCATATCTGACCGTGACCCGCGCTTTACCAGCCGATTCTGGCGACGACTCCACGAGGTATATGGCACTCAGTTCCGCTTCTCCTCGTCTTACCATCCTCAGATTGATGGTCAGACCGAGATCACGAACAGGACTCTCGGAGATATTCTCCGAAAGATTGTTCGTGACGACCAGCATTGGGATCTCGATCTTGCCCACGCGGAGATAGCCTACAACCACGCCGTCTTGCCAGCCACGGGGATGTTGCCTTACTATTGCGACCTCGGCTACCACCCTCGTGTTCCTGCGGACTTCCTCCGACCGTTACAGTTGCACCCCGACATGAGTTGTCCCGCTCTGGATGATTGGGTTGCACACATGACGTCGATCAAGACCGCACATGAGCACATAGCCGCTTCCCAGACTCGCATGGCAGCACGTGCGAACCGATCGAGGATGGATCATCCATTCAAAGTCGGTGATGATGTGCTTATCGAAGCCCGCCACTTACAGCTCGAAGCGGACACGCTTCGCAAGTTTCGGCGTCGCTTCCTTGGCCCATGCCGCATCCTCCAGGTCGTCGGTTCTGATACGGCTTCTAGCCCGGTCAGCTTCCGTGTGAAGCTGCCCGACTACCTACGCCAGACTCGTGTGCACGATGTCTACCATGTCTCGTTACTGCGTCCTTATCGCAGACCGTCTGAGCGTTTCGCTGGACGACCATACGAGCGCCCTCCACCCCTCATGGTGGACGACCACGAGGAGTTCCTCGTTTCAGACATCATTGGTCGTCGAGTCACCGACGACAACCTTCCCCACATCAAGTATCTCGTACGTTGGAAGGGTTACCCTGATGAGGAGGCTACCTGGGAGCCCCTCGAGCACTTGCAGCACGCTCGCATGTTGGTGCGTGCCTATGACCGTGCTCGTCGTGCTGGGTTCACTGCTCCTCCTTGTCCACTGACCCTCCTCCTTCTCCCCCGGCTGAGGAGACCGCTGAAGTCGAGCCTGCTCCATCTTAGTATTCCATACACTCCAGTTTTGCTACTTCAGCTCGTCGACGTTGCGGCTCTTCCTCGACGGCATTCCAGACTTCTCATCGTGGACGTCATACGCAGCTTCATGGACTTCGTCATGATCAACTCTGCCTACTTCAGACGTCATCACTATCTTACCACTTTACCCTGTACAGTACCCTGCTTGTGTCGCATGATGGTCTCTCTTTAGCCGGGTTCCTCTGAGTTGGCCTCTCCCTTGGTATACACATAGGCATCGAGACCGTAGCGTTGCCCTGGTTTCCCATCTAAAAGATCTAGCTCCGACTTCCCTCACTTTAGGAGTCATTTGCATGATTCCCTTACCCATCACCTTTCTACCCTCTGCCGGCCCTCACGCGCTAGTTAGGCAGCCCCGCATGCTTCATCTAGGTGCGCCCAGTATACCAGGYTCCCTTGTTCCCTTGCATGGTCGACCCTCCATAGCGGTCACCCCTTAGTCGAGCTTTACCCGCCCTGATGGTCTACCTGTTAGGGTCATTGGTTCTGTTCGCTACCAGTTCCCTACCCTCATTGAGCCTGACTACATATGTCTCCCTGTTATCTATGTCTGGATGCCCTTAGGAGTTTTCGACCCCTAGGCTGCATTCGCCACCCTCAGAGACCATCCCACCCTTCGGTTTGCAACACACTTCTCATGTGACATACAGTTGTCTTGTTGATTGCTTTGTTGCTCTCAGACTGAGGCTACTCCCTCTGACATTTCTAGGATTTAGTTCTTTTGTTTTTGCTGTTCTTAAGACTTATACACTAGTTAGCTGTTACCAGACTTAGGCTACTGCCTCCAACATTCTAGGATCTAGTTGTCACTACTTTCTGTTTTCCTAGGACATGTATGCTCGTTAGTTACTTCTGCTTTCCTAGGACATGTATGCTAGTTAGTTGCTTCTGCTTTTACTTAGGCTGTTAGCTGTGACATTGCTGTTTTGTGACATTTTCTAGCCTAGGTTGCATCGCATGGACTCAGCATGGAGCTTGCTCCGCATCCTAGACTACTCAGGTTCTCTTTTCTTTGGTAGAGTTCCGCTTCTTGGCGGAAGCGTGTTTGTATCTAGGCGATCCATCACAGGTCGAGGATAGTGTAGCGGACCTCTGGTTGGTTGGTCTGTGAGACCAGCCCCTTGGCCTGTTCTCACAGGCCTGTGTTCTATTCGGGGGCAGTCCAGGCCAGGCCAGGTCGGTACCTCTGTCGGTACCAGCCAGGCCAGTCCAGTCCAGTCCCGCCAGTCCGTTAGGGTATACCCCAGCCTGTGTCTGTTTTCGAGATCATTCTTCACTTGCACATTTTGGAGTACGTGCGTTGGAGTCTTGTGTGGGGAGCTGCGTTTTGTCATCTCGCTCCCCCCTTCTTCCTCCATCCCCATCTCTACCACTAGCGGAGTACCACACCTGGTGGGTCCGCTACATAACAGGTCGGTTTACGATTCAACTTCAAACTCATTATCGTGACTCAATCTAAGACCTTAGTTCATGTGAGTTTAATTATTTTTTCATTTTTCACCCGGATTTTTATTAAAGAGTCATTTAAAAATGACAAAGTGTTTTTTTTTTTAAGGTTGGTCAAAGGTTGGGGCTTGTGTGAAAAAGGCAAGGGGTATGAGTGCAGAGAGTGGTTGAAGTTGACTCCGTGTAGTGTGTAGTCTGTCGATGTTAAATCCGTGTGTGATGGGAGGTATGTTTTGTGATTTTGGAGTTATGACAAAAAATTTGTTTGCGATCATTTATATATTTGAAAGGAAGTCATTCTATGATTGTCAGAGGGATCGCCTCGTATCTAATAACCCCGTTATAATTATATTTTATGTATCATCGTGATTTACTTTCACCGCACCTACGATTGAGCAGACTCATACTGAGAGAAAATGAAGATCCGCTTTTATTTTTGCTTTTTAGATTTTTATAGTTGAACGTCGAGGTCTGTGACACCTGTCAAAGTCAAACCCCTTTACCTGTCCGAAGACCTCTGAACATGGACCCACGTCCTATAGGTCAAGGGCGTTCTAGCGCCATAAAGGGCCGAAGACCACCCCGCTCACTCGAGCAGAGTACAAAAGAGGGTCATGCAATCACACTTGGGATTATTTAGCACCAAGAGACTAACCTCTCAAGGCGTGTGTAAGCCGACACTTAAGTGTCGAAGATGATCCTCAAAATTATTGAGGTTTGCGTGGTCATGGGTAGCTCATATTATGCCATTATTACGACGGCTTACGTATTCATGCATGTCCAGTCGATATGATTAAGGCCTACGCCGCCACGACATCTATTTTTGGTTTCACATGCGATATCTGCTTAATGTTGTTATCAAAGGTTATGGATCCAATCTAAAAAGGGACTCGGCGATATTTAAGTTTGGAGTCTCGTTTTATTTTGTTAAGTATATCGCTTTGGTTAGATGGACCGTCCTAGTCGATCGGTGTTGGGCCACACTTGGGAAATCATCCCTCAGAGCGTCGGTTTTTATACGGGCCCGATTGTGGCGTTCGACCACGAGTACCCCCTATACTACAACGTACGAGAAATGTCCTCGATTGAGGCACCTCTAGGATTGCACCTGAGCAACTTTTGCACGTGGTTCAGTAGCTCAGCGGGGATACGTATGTCCAAGGATGGTGACAACCCTTTGGGCAGAGGTAAGGTATGCCTCGCATGACCCCTATCCTATCGTAGCGGTTTGTGAGAGGTGCGGCTAACACACTGGGCCGGAGCAGTGAAAACTTCCTTGCAATAAAGTCTTGCAAAATCCTGCGTGACTCGGTCGGGAGGGTCCTCATGAGGGACCGATGCGCTCGACAACGTGTGAGGGTTTTTACATGTAGTCGCAAAGGTGGACTAACCTAGGGGATTTCTTGTTCGCTTTAGCATAGGGATACTCGCGGTCAACGCTCGAATCGAACTTGTGTGTGAATCGACACCTGGGACACTGATCTCCCAAGCGCCACCCCACGTCGGTCGACTATGACGACAAGTCTAACCACTTAATACACTTTCCAACAAAACTTAAGTCTGTATGCGAATCGCACCTAATTTTTTTTTTTCTACTCAACCCATGACTGTTTTGGTGCATGAACAAAAAAAAGTCGCACGTCAGATTTTGAGTAAATAGCAAAAATTGCGTGAACCCTGTCATGTCGACTTGCCCATGCGTAAATACACCAGTAGGCGGAATGATGACGTACTATGTGGTAACCATGACCACGCGACCCTTGTTGGTTATAAGGATTTCTTTCGACACTCAAGTGTCGGCTGGCACACGTCTCGAGGGGTTACTCCTCTTACACTAGGTAATCGTGAATGTGGTTGTGAGTCCTACCCTCTTTTGCACCCTACACAAGAGAGTGATAGGCAGACTACGACCATTAGTGTCAAATTGAAGAGGGAGGTCCCAACTTCGGGCCCCTTGGAACAAATTAAGGGGTTATACTTTTACAGTCGCCACAAACCTTAAAGTCAAACTACGGAAGCCTAACAAGCAAATAATTTTTGTGGGCATTTTCAGTGTGAAACGTCGCAAGTGAGTAGGCGTGCGACTTATTGTGTGTCTCACGCTTAAGTGTGTTACAGGTGTTCCTGGCCACAACGAACCCGTAAAAATAAATCGGTCGAGTAATTTAGACATAAGATTGTATGACATCGCAACAATCACTCTCACAATTATAAGTGTGGTTAGCCCATCAATATTCATGCAAGTTATAAGCAAACACCAAGTCATAATTCATTAATCTTTCACTCATAGCTGCAATCACATGAAGTTTACAGTAACATGCCACACACTAAAAGGGTCAACTTTACCATTTTCTGCGACTCATACCCCGCCTTATGCATACAAACCCCAACTATTTTCCACCATCCTACAATGAAGATACACAATCCTTAAAAATAACCGTTTATAAAGAAGTCTATGTGAAAACCCCAAGAAACATGTAAAACTCACTGGGGCGAAAGTTTTAGGTTAAGGTGCAAAAACAGATAAAATTATGTCATGAACTGATTTAGTACCAATTAATAACAAAAGTTTTTTATCCTTATAGGATCAAGCAGAAATTAATCGATCATTGAATCAAACACGGACCTTCATCACATTACAGGCAAAAAACAATATTGTTATGTTTAAGAAGAATGAAGAATACATTCCATATTGTAGTGTAACTTCTTCTACAACTCTCCTCCTTATCCCTTGCTAGTCTGTGCTATCGACAATTTAAAATTTCGGTAGTATATCCTCTAGATAGGGTGAACTACCAAAAAATTCATAATGAAGATTTTGACTAACTCCTTTAATTTTACATAAAATTTTGTAGTATATCCTCTAGATAAGATGAATTAAGCTAGAAACGTAGACTACCAATATCTATATTAAGCTAAATCCGCAAATCAAATTATGACTTAACTTCACAAGGGCAAATTTTTGTTTAACTCCCTAAGTTAGCAAAATTTTCGACATCACTTCTTATAGGGAAGTAGACTGTCAAAAGTCTCATTTAGTCAAAAAAAAAAAAAAAAAAAACAATCTGACTATACAAACGGAAAATTTAACCAACTTCTTTGAGTTAGTAAGATTTTAGGCAAATCTTCCCACAAGAAAGTGAAGTACCAAAAAAATTATTGAGTAAAATACAAAGAGTATAATGAAACTAGACTTTTACATTTATCTCAGCTGTCAGAGCTAAAAAATAACTTCATGATACTTCCTTTAAGATAGTTTATCGAACCAACTTTAACTCCGACTCTCAGTACGGTCATCCTGCTTCCTCTGAAGTTTTTTCTTTTATCTATCATTACCCTGTCTATCGCTCTAGCATTTGACGAGCCCCAAAAAAACTACCTATCGAAATACATTCTCAATTAACGCTCAAAGTCCACACTGACAAATAAGTTAGGTCCTCTCAAATTTCCTCAATTTTTCATTTTAAAATATAGTAGTTCATAATTTTTTCAAATAATTATCCTTTTACTCATTTTTTTACATATGGCATAGAGTTAAGGTCATTCAACTTATAAACAATATATAGTCTGTTTCAGTTTTAGACAATTAAATGACATAATAATTTTTGTTCTTTGGGCATGTGACTAACCATAAAACTCATAAACAATATATAGTCAGTCCATGACTGTTTAATAATCAAAATTTAAATAACTCTCTGGATGACTTTAGGCTAAACCATTCAACTTATAAACATTATTTAACCCTTCAACTGAACCTCCATCGTAATAAAATAAAATGTTGAGTCATTCAAGTTGT